CACCCAGCTTATTTTCATGTTTTAAAAAACATTACTTTTACTTAGTGTGTGTGTGTGTGTGTGTGTGTGTGTACACTGTTGGGTGTCAGTTCTCTCCTTCAACCATGTGGGACCCAGGAATCAAACTGAGTTTATCAAGCTTAGCAGCAAGAGTTTTAAATCATTGAGCCATCTCAACAACCCCCTCTCCCTTTATTTGGGAGACCCCATTGCATTTTATCAGGATCCTGGCTAAGGGATGATTTACAAGAGCATGGGCTCCCTACCACTAGTTCCATTACTGAAGAAAATGTTTCTCCCTCCTTAGTAACCATTATACACCTCTAAGGCCTCAGGGACAACATTCTCGTGTGATGTCATGTCCCCCTACCCTCATGGCAGGTTGTGGACTGGCCCTATCTCATGCAGGTCATCTGTTCCTATTTCTCTTTCATAACACGACTGTTCGCCTTCAGACTTCTTTAGCAGAAATGCTCTTGTACCTATTGGAACACTTAGAAACCTGGGGGAACAGACAGAAGTACTCTGGTACCTCTTGTGCACCCATCAAGCTTGTTCATAGAACGAATATCAGGACACATTGCATCTCAGATTCTTAGGACCTGCTCCATCCATGTTTAGTAGGGTTTTTGTTGTTGTTGTTGTTGTTTTCCCAGAGTGGCCAATTGCCCTCACATACCTCAGCAAGTCTCTGTGGGGCTTGGCGTATTGTTGCAGTGCTCTCTTTATCCTTTACATAATTCTGCCACTTCCCTTTACTCTTTCATATTTTGGAGAGGGCAGCCCCACAGTGTCCTCCCCAGTGAATTCAGGTCACACATTCTCAGCAGGAGCACCACGGGGAGGAAGCACCGCCTTACTCCAGGCACTGGTAGTCTGTCTCCCCCATCTCAGTGATCCTAGCTTGCTTATGGTGGTACCTGCCGGGTCCCTTCCCAATAAAGGATGCTTTTATCTGGGGTGTGGCAGAGTCCTAGAGTGGTAGAGCACCTGCCTAGAACCTAGCAGTGAGCCAGCTGTGGTGGTGCACACCTTTAATCCCAGAATTCTGGAGGCAGAAGCAAGTAGGTCTCTGTGAGATCAAGGTCAGCCTGGTCTACATAGTGAGTTCCAGATCAGCTGGGGCTACAGGGAGACCCTGTCTCAAAAAACAAAAACAACAATAACAAAAGACTCTTCTAGTGAGGGACTGGGGATATGGCTCAGCAGTACAGCACCTGCCTAGACTCCACCAGTGAGGGTATGGAGGTGTGGCTCAGTGGTAGAGAACCTGCCTAGAACCCACCAGTAAGGGGCTGGCTGGAAGTGTGGGTCATCAGTAAAGACCTTGCCCAGCATATTTGACGCCATAGATTCAAATTCCCAGGACTGAATGGGGGCTGGGGGGAGATATACATGGGTGCATCACATCTGCTTGGTTTTTCAGAAGCAAACAAGAATGAAAATGACAAGTGAGATTGATTGCATGGGGCAAGGTGAGAAGGAGATGTGGAGAGGTGCATGAGTTAGTACGATTTTGATCTTTGGAATTATGTTAATATTTTATACACCCAAGAAATGAAATCAAAGCCAGGTGTGTTCACAGCATGTCTGCCACCCCAGCACTTGGAAGGCTGAAGCGGGAGGAATGAGAGTTGGAGGCCAGCCTGGGATACACAGTAAAGCCCTGACATACATGTATGCATGCATACATACATACACACACACATACATACATACATACATACATACATACAAGAAAGAATGATAAAAACCAAGACAAGGGAAAAACTAAAATTGAACATGAATGGAAGAATTCCAACTTTCTAGAAACTGGTCATAAATAACCACAGATGGGGAGGGAAATGACCCCAGTAATTTTTTTTCCTTCTTAGTTAAAGAAAAAAAAATTGTATGTGTGTGTGTGTGTGTGTGTGTGTGTGTGTGTATGTATGTGTGTGTGCGCACGTGCGCGTTTTGAGACAGAGTCACATCATGTATCCCTGACTGGCCTGGAATTCACTATGCACACCAGTCTGGCCTCCATCTCACAGAGATTTGCCTGCTTCTGTCTCCTGAGTGCTGGGATTGAAGTCTTTGTTTCCCTAGTGCTGGGATTATACAAGCATGTGTCATGCCTGGCTTTTGTTTGTAGTTGCTGGGGATCCAAACTCAGGTCCATGGTTGTATGGCAAGCACTTTACCAGCTGAGCTATCTCCCCAATGCCCTCTGTTTTGTTTTTAACACATTGAAATTTTACATTTTAATCAATCAACCAATCAACTAGTGTGTGCATACAAATGTATGACTGTATGAGTATGAAGGTCAGGGCACAACTTGTGGGAATCAGTTCTCCTCTTCCACCACATAGGTCCTGGGGATGGAACTCAGGTCATCAGGCTTGGTGGCAAGTGTTGAGCCATCTCAGCAGCCTTCAGATAATAACCCTATCTTTTAAAAAATATTTTATCTGTTGTTTTTATGTATTATTTATTTTTAATTTTATTTATTTTTATTTTATGTGTATGAGTGTGGTGCCAGCAGAGTCAGAAGAGAGCATCGGGATTCCCTAGAACTGGAGTTATGGACAGTTGTTAGCCACCATGTGGGTGCTGGGATTCAAACCCGGGTCCTCTGCAAGAGCAGCCAGTGCTCTTAACAACTGAGCCATCTCTCCAGCCCCCTATCTTTTAACTTTTTGAAGAACTACTGATTGAAATTTATATACTTTCTATGTGCTTCAAAATATCTTTTTAAAAGTCATTGTTCACCCATTTAATTATATGAAAGCCATTCTTAGCTGGTGGCTCAGAGCACCAAAGTGGGCCAGATTTACTCCATAGGTCATAGTTCTTGACCCTTATGCAGGCAGTCAGAGGAGTCTGGATTTATCATGGTGTGACAGGCACACACAAACTTATATTCAGAATTCTGGGAGAAGAGACTGGTAAGGGTCAGTTAGATAAATGTAGGACAGAGGGTGTTACATCTTAGCGTTAGCGCAGCTGCTGTTTATAGCAAAGTGCATCCTGAATACAAGACATTTGTCTTTCAAATGTCCTCAGATAATCAGACCTTTCACCTCTATTCATGCACCTGTTTATTTAGCTCTTTTTCAATTTATTTTTATTTTATGTGTATGAGTGTATTGCTTCTTGTATGTAAGTGCACCCATGTCATGCAGTTCCCATGGAGGTCAGAAGACGGCATCTGATTCTCCTGGAACTGGAGTTACAGATGACTGTTGGTCACCGTGTGGGTGCTAGGAATCAAACCTGGGTCTCCTGTAAGAGCAGTCAGTGATCTTAACCGCTGAGTCATCTCTCTAGCCCCCTATTTAATTCTTAAATAGCGAAAAAAATCTCAATCTCTCTCTCTCTCTCTCTCTCTCTCTCTCTCTCTCTCTCTCTCTCTCGGCAGGGTCTCATGTAGCCCAGACAGGCCTCTAACACCCTATGTAGCCAAGGCTGGCCTTGAATTTCAGATCCTCCTGCCTCCAGTCGCCTATGCGCTGGGATTACAGATGTGCATCGCCATGCCCAGTTTTGTGCAGTGCTGGGGCTGAAACTCAGGGCTTTGTGCATGCTAGACAAGCACTCTGCCAACGGAGCCACCTCCGGAGCCCCAAAATATGTCTATTCTATTCCAAAGGGTTGTTGTGAGTTTTAAATGAGTTACTGTATGTGCAGCGCTGAGCCTGGTACCTGACAGTTCAAGACCTACATAAGCAGTTGATATTATTATTGATGATGTGGCAATGATTACCCACACAGCCCCAGCTCAGCCCTCATCTTCTTCCTGTCCCTTGGCTTCCTGTGAGAGCCCCCACCAACCAGCCTCCAAATGACTTTCTGACACTCTGATCTGACCGTGTCCTTCCTCTCCCCAAACCTTCTGTGGCGCCCTAGTGTTTTTGGTATGCCTGCCTGGTTTCTCAGCCTCACACCCAAGGTTATTGTGGCTTTGTCCCTATTTCCTGCTCTAACCTTGTTTCTGTAACAGTTGGTCATGATGCACTTGCATGGATGCACTAGCTCGATGTTCCCTTGCCTTTCCTTTGCCTGGGCTGTTCCCTCTGCCAGGAGTAGTGAGATATGTGGTGTGCCCTTAACCTTTCCTGGACCTCATCCTTTAGGATCTGGACAAAGACCTAGTTTTTCCACCGTCTTGTACTTGTTCCAGGTGGCTTTGTCTCTTCTAGACCTCGCAGTGCCGAATGAGACGTACTTTGTAGCGCACGTCATGGCATGGGGCTGCTGGTCACTGTCTTGTTATCTGGCTTCTTCAGTTGTGCCGTGAGGTCCCAGATGGCAGATTTAGGGTAGGGTGAGGAGAGTTGGTAGATTCATCTCTGGGTTTCCTGCGCCCAGCCAAGGCCTGACATAGGAGGTCCTTCAAAACATGGACATTAACCTGGAGACACAGACCAGTCATGCCAACTACTTGGGAGGCTGAGGCGGGAAGATCAAAAGTTCAAGGCCTGCCTAGGCAATTTAGTGAGACCGTATCTCAGAATAAAAAGTAAGGAGAGGACTGGGATGCCAGGCATGGTGGCATACACCTTTAATTTCAGCACTCAGGAGGGAGAGGCAGGTGGAGCTCTGTGAGTTCAAAGCCAGCCTGGAGATTGATCTACACGGTGAGTTCCAGGCCAGCTGGGGCTACCTGTTTCAAAAAGACCCCAAAAAACAAAACTGGGGCTTGGGGAAGTAGCTCAGTGATAGAACTCTTGCCTAGAATTCATCAGTGAAGGGCTGGAGGTATGGCTCAGTGGTAGAGCGCCTACCTAGAATCCTCCAGTGAGGGGTTAAGATCCTGGGGGTGTGACTATATGTGCTGGGGCTACGGCTCCAGTGTAGTGATCTTGCCTACAATCTACTAGGGAGGCTAAGACCGTGGCTCAGCAATAAAGCACTTGCCTAGCATGCTGGGGAGAGCTAGAGAAGGACAAGGGGGAGGAAAGCAGTGAGCTGGGGCTGAGGTCCCCCTTCTCATGCTCCCCACACCTCTCTTCCCCCAGGCCTCTCCTTGGTGGTGGGTTTGGTTCTGTACATCTCCAGCATCAATGACGAGGTCATGAACAGGCCGAGCAGCTCAGAGCAGTACTTCCATTACCGCTATGGGTGGTCCTTCGCCTTTGCTGCTTCCTCTTTCCTTCTCAAAGAGGTGATGTGTGGGGTCCAGACTCTCAGTTTGAAAAGAGAGGTGGGGGAGGGGCATCTGGGTTGGGTGTTCCAGCTCTTGGAGTCCTGGAAGCGGTGGGGGCTGAGGAGAGGGACTTCTGGGTTTGTGGAGGGAGGAAATCTGCCGGCTTGGACCCTCAGAGGTCTTGGACAAAGAGAGGGTGGGAACCCTGGGTCCAGGACCCTTGACTTTAAAGAAGAGAATTTCTGGGATGGAGGGGGGGAATCAAGACTGTGGGTCCAGGCACTGCATTGTGAGGGAGGTGGGGGTCTGTGGGTCTAACCCCTCCCTCCTGGAGAGGAAAGAGCTCAGGAGTTCTAAGCTTCTGGGGTCTTGGAAGGAGAAACAGGTGTTTAGGGATTCCTGGGTCTTGAGGGAAGGAGTCTGTGGAGTTGGACCCCTCAGGTCTTGGAAGAGGATGGAGGTTCTGGAAAACGACAGAGCTGGGGGACAGGACTCTCTGCTTTGAAGGAGGAGGATCTGGTGGTCCGATTACTGGGTCCAGGGTGAAGAGGAGGCTGGGGGTGTGTGTAAGCTCTGGATTATGAAGGAGGTGGGGATTGTGGGTCTAGCCCCTGGGTTCTGATGAGGAAGGGGTCTGGGTGTTCCAACAACCCTTGGGGTTCTGGAAGAGGTGGGAACTGGGGCTGAGACTTCCTGGGCGTTGCTGAGATCTTGGGGACTCTGGTAGACAAGGATTTTGACGGTGCCTTGCCACAGGGGGCTGGAGTCATGTCGGTGTACTTGTTCACCAAGCGCTACGCGGAGGAGGAGATGTACCGTCCCCACCCGGCCTTCTACCGCCCGCGTCTCAGCGACTGCTCTGACTACTCCGGCCAGTTTCTGCAGCCCGAGGCGTGGCGCCGCGGCCGCAGCCCATCGGACATCTCCAGCGACGTCTCCATTCAGATGACGCAAAATTACCCTCCAGCCATCAAGTACCCCGACCACCTGCACATCTCCACCTCGCCATGCTGAAGCTAGTGGAGCCCCCCTTCTCGGCCTCCTCCTCCTCCACCTCTTCCTCCTCCTCCTCTCCTGCAATGCAGCCCCGGTCCCCTAGGGGACTCAAGGCTGGAGGATGCTGCGCCAACTCTAGGCTCCAACTCCGCCATCCTCGTTTCAGTGGCTCTACCTGCTTTCCAACCTCTCCTCCACATCGGCCCCTTCTGCTTCCAAATGACCCCTCCCTGTTGTGTATTTTCTTCCCCTTTCCCTGGCTCCTCCCCTCCCGTCAGCTCCTTTTCCTTTCCGTGGGTCCAGCTTGCCTACCCGCAGGAGCGTGTCTGGTACCCAGCTCCCCCTGAGCTCCACAGATTCCTGGCTGGAGCGCCGCGCTGGAGAGTGGGTCTGGGAGACGCTGGGAGTGCCCTTGAACTCACCTTGGTCCTCACTCCTAGCAACACCTCCAGCCTAGCCCTGTCCTCGGTAGTGCTGGGCGGGCACCTGCTTGCTGTCCACATCTGTCGGTCTGGAGGTGGAGGGGGAGGGGGACTGCAGGACTTTGACTACTGCTGACCCCGCCCCCCCATTCCTACTTTCTGTGACCTACCTTCTAGGGGCCTCGGCCCTGACGATCTTTTTTTCCTTTCCTGCTGAGCTCTCTTCTGCTCCTTTTCTTCCCTCTCTCTTTTCCTCCCTCCACGTGCTCATCCAAAGCCCCTAGGTGCATCTTGCCTCTCACACCAAACAAGGATGGAGACCCCAGGGTGGAGGGAGGTTCCCTCATGCTATCTCCACACCTGTGCCCGCCTCTCCCCCCTCGAGGTCCCGTCGGGGGAGGGAGGAGCAGTAGCGGGGGTTGACACCCCCTACAACCTCTGTCTTCCATTTTCTGGTACACCTCCTCACCCACGTCCTTCCCATCTCAGACCCCCAACTCTGGCCTCTTTCAAGAGCCAGTACACCCCCTTGGACAGATTGGGGGGAGGTCGCCAGAAAATCGCTCATCCCATCCCCCTTATTAGGGGAGGAAGGGCGAGGTAGCACAGTGTTATACACGGAACCAGAACGGCCCCCGGGGTGGGGGGAGGGGGCAGGGGAGGGAA